CCCCAAGTAGCGCGCGGCTAATACATTGTTACTCTTTCCTTCAACTTGTTAAAGTCACGCGGGAGAAGTATGCGTTTTGTAAAAACACGGACTTGAGATGCGAAACCGTACGATTCGCACTCATCTCTCCCCTCGTTCTCGGTCAAAGCCAGTCATTACTATTCACCGTTATTACTAGTCCACCGACTCGACTCGTCGGGACGCTAATTCGACCCTTCGTCTCGTTACGAATTGATAATTTCGCGCCCCACCCTCTACGGCGATCGCTCGTCTGTGTTTCGGGCACCGGTCTTTTTTCGGAGTCGCCATCACGTGGCCAGCTCTATGTTCCCGTCGTCGTCGTCGTTGTTGTCGTCATCGTCCCCCGGGTGGCTGCCTCGTGCGACGACTGCGCCAGTGTAATCGTTACGAGCGTGCGCGCGCTACACTCCGAGAGTACATCGAGCCGTAATAATTTCGGGATTTAACATACAGCTGAGCGTCACATGCTACCTCTCGTCGCTCGAGGGACCCTCGAGAGAGAAAGAGAAAGAGACACATGTCGAGAGAGACAGAGAAAGAGAGAATAAGAAAGACAAGGGCGCTGCTGCACGCAGAAAGGGGACGAGTTTCCCCCGGGGGGTAAATTCGCCTCCCGGATTGGGTGCCTCTCCCTTTCTCCCCGGAGCCCCCACGTTGGAGGTTATTAATAATTTAATGCGTTTAATTTTCCCGATACGTAAAAGCGTCGGACGGCGGGCACGCGGAGCTAAGTACATAAAGTTCAAACGCGGCGTCCTCCCACCGCGTGTGATCGCCTTTCCACCGTAAACATTAATAAGGTCATGTGCTCGTTGATGAGAGATGAGATGCGAGCTACGATCGATTGAAATAACCCGACGACGGCGAGTGAGCGAATGAGCTTGGAGGACGATTCGGGTTTTAAGCTGAACTCGCTCGCTCGCTCGTTCACTCCGACTTGCCGTCACAGTTGGGCCGATTTGCCACTCACTACTCTAGCCGCCAGGAAGTAGTTATTCTTGTGCCCAATCACTATACTTTCTCTAGAGCGGCAGTTTTTAGCTGTAATCCGATTCGGTCTCTAGTTCCATTCACTCACCGGTTACTATACGCGCATGTAACGCCGTCATTCATGTAAATCGCAGCAGATTCTCTCTGTCGACGATGACCATTTCTTTCTATGCTTCTGCACACCTGATCGTAATTGCATCGTTCTCAGTTGTAACGCTGCAAATCAAAGTGTGTTATCTTTAAACGCGTAAGCGTGACTGAACCTCTTTGTACACGTTTGTTGCGGTTTTAACTCATGTCATTCGGCACGTTTAAGACGTGTAAATTATAATTCAATACGTCTCTCTAAATGTGTCAAATAACGTGACTTGGAACGATGAGAACGTGTAAAAAAATTTTTAGCTAAAATAACACACTTGGATTTTTGCAGTGAACATCTTAAGAAGCATGTTTGCTTCAAGGAGGAACGCGTAAAAAGTGTGTCCATTCAAATGCATATTCGAACAGAGATGCACATTTCAGAGAGTCTCCATTGTAAATAAATACTTTGCAGCGAGAAAATTAACATCTTTATCATTCGGGTACGCCAATATGCTAAAGAGCGTCGCTCCAAGTAATATATTGCGGACAATTCTTATCGACAATATCGCCGTATGCGTAAAATTTTACGCACACGTAGAATAATTTCTTCCTGCGAGCTCTACGGTGCCGCAGTTTTCGTTCGTCGACTTGATCGGTCTTACACATGCGACGAGGAGATATGCATCGGCCTGTGTTATCACACGACACGTGAGCGCCTGCGTGTCGACGCCCGTGGAGGATGAAAAGACCTGTACGAAGATCGATAACTGACAAACGATGATCGGACCGTAGGATTTGGTGGCGCCATCGGAGAACGAGCTACACAAGCGAAATTGCCCGGCGGCTCTGTCGGTAACGCGATGAATTCGCAAAATTATTGCTTAAATAAATTAATCCGCGACACGAGTACGCGTGTTATCATCTAGAAACCGCGTGTCTCGACAACGTATGTCTTATTCTGTTCTGATTGTAAAATTTGCCAATACGTATAATTCAGCGATGACGAGACAAACGACACGTTGAAAATATTAATTAATCAATAAAATCTCTCTTTGAAGAAACCGTGTGAGAAAGTTTAATCGAAAAAATGTGCATGTTAATAATTCAATTTTCTTTCACACAAGTCACACAAGGCCGAACAAAGCAAATCTTCTCGTACGCGTGATAAGACAAAGTGATTTATTTTAGATATAATTTTGCGGTCTTCGCCAAATTATTGTGAAGTATCATTGTTAAATAACACACAATAGATGTACGTTACCCTCTCGTTAGTCGCTCGCCAATCTAACTGGTCTAATTTTTCGGTTAATACGCTTACCTGCAATAAAAAGAAAATATAATTCGTCAGTGATATATTATAATATGCGATTCATATAAGAGGTTTGTAGAAGAATAGAAAGGGAATTTGCACAAAGGCATGACGAGCTCTTGGGTAACAGGCGTCGATAAAAAAGAACTCTGCTCGGGAAAGGGCATTTCGACATCAAAATTTCCAACAGCCGTACAACCCGCTGCCCGAGCTCGCCCGTGTAACATCGATCGCAACGCTTCTCGCGCCGAATAACGATTAATAATGCCCGGCCTTGGTCATTCATTATAGAAATCAACAAGAGACAAGGAGAAAAAAGCCAAGGTTGCTTACGTAAGGATCGTGTGAAGGTGGCATTTATTTAATTCGAATAAATTCGAGTATCAGCGCGCGAATTCGATATTTCTTTTTCATTCGGCCGTTACTTAAGTTACATCGCTATTTTTAGATACGTCAGGAAGTCAGATTAGCTCGTCTTATCGTGGAAGAAATGGGAAGATCTATGCTGTTGGAAATTTCAGTCTCCTACAGTATCTCCTCTTTCCCGCTCTGTCGGTGAGAGACGCGTAGAGCTTGCCATTTGTTTATCTTAATTATAATCACTGCGTCGTAAATCTGTGCTTGCGCTGCCGGATACGCGACACGCTCAATGCGCAATTTTGTCGGATTTTGCACAAAATTAGTAGCTGAAATCAAGAACATCCTGTCGCGTTTGTATGCAAGTAGACACGAACGGTTTAACGTTTCATTTATTCAAGCAATATATCTAAAAAGTCACACGCGTGTTTCTCAATAGAACCACCTAAAATTATTAAATAGGGCAGACTGAACCTAGAGCGAATACAATGGATATAAAATCGCGAAATGGTCCTTTTAGAACGTAAATAATTTTTTCTAAATTTTATTCAAACCGGAATAATGTTATAGTTAAAAATAGAAAAATCTGATTAATAGTAATAAAGTAAATTTTTGAGCCTCTCGAAATTTTGTGTTAATATTCTCCATCGTGAGTAAATAAAGTTAAACAACGTGTTACTAGCTAGAATAAGATTTTTTGCAAGTGTAGGATATATTCTCTATTTTGGATAATAAAATTTTTACTCATAAAATCACTGATATATGAATATAAGTTTACGAAGTAAAATTGACCCATAATTAAAGGAGACCTGTGAAGATCTCTCGCGGAGACCTCGGAACTATTCAGGATACGTATTTTATATATAGCCTTCTTTTACGCTACTGGGCAACTGAACTCAATACCAAGGCAAGATGGCCAGATGGCAAGATGGTTGCTGCGTGCTTGCATTTAAGTTATTACATAACAAAATATACGGTTAACAAGATCGTAACGAGCATTACTACAATTAATTGTTTGAAAAGTTGCAACTTCGAAATTCTGAAATATGGGATATTTAATAAGTCCCCGGTCTCCCCTATTCCACTGAGATTCGGTTAGATTCATTTGTTGTTTATACCGCTGTGTTTATTCACGGCTACGTTTCCTTTTGTTGTATTTTCGCGCGTACATGCACTGCACACACGCACACGTGAGCGGATTACTTACAGACTCATTGTTTTCCGTTCGACCGGCGTTGAACACCAGGTTTGTTCTTCGCTAAGATCGCGACCTGATTGGTCGTGGGAGAGATTTCATTTTGCAAAAAGAGACACCACATGCACGAAATATCTCGCGTTATTAAGACTTTCCAGGACACGTTTACCCCCGACGGCACTCCGCGCGCTATATCTTCTAATCAAAAAGTACCATCCGGAATTTCTCCATTATCGAAGTAGCGGCGAAATAGCCTTTCCCAGTCGCGATCTCGCCTTCCGATTTCGCTGTCCTCGCGGCGCACAGCCTAGGTTAAAGCTCATAAAATGAATCGGGCACGCGCAAACTGGCCGAAACTGGCTCGTCGTCGCTCTGTTTATTCGCGCGAGCGTTCAGGACGAAGTTCGGAGCAAAAGTCGCGATTATGCGGAACGACGGGCGTTTATACGAAACGCAAAGTGCCGCATACGAATCTCGCGATTTTCAGACGCGAGGCAACGTACTAGTTTCGGGCGGTCCTCGGCTGAGAGAGAGAGAGAGAGAGAGAGAGAGAGAGAGAGAGAAAATATGTGTATATAGAAAGAATGTATGTACGTGTGTGTGTGTATCTGTCCGGTAAGTTCAGCTTCAACGGTTCGCAAGGCAGTCGAGTGAATTGCGCACGCGGTCGCGTAATCACAGGCCACGAAACAGCACGGTCGAAGACAGAGCGTTATGGCGTTCCACGCTGCATAAAAGTCTCGAAGCGCACTACCCCCTTTATATGCCCGTGCTTGTCCGACTTCTCGTCGGAGATTTTTAAGAGAACTTTTATCTGCTAGCGTGATAGCACGAACATTGTGCCGATAACAATATTTGATAAGAGATTCGCGGATTCGCTCCAGGATGAATCATAGATATCACCAATACGGAATATATTATTGTTGTTCCCGGGGTGAGAAAAGAAAGAAAACGTTTGTTCTCTCTTCACAGTGAACAATCTTACACTGAAGAGAAATACTTGAAAATTTATTTGTGAGATATAAACTAATGGTGTATGTTCGAAGTCATTAGGTCTTAGTCGTCAAATATGGTATATCGCGTGACAATATACGCGTCTTTGCACGGAAAATTAACGGATTGTCATCGACGTTGAACGCTCGTGTTAAATGGTCGGACACGTGTCGGCAACGTTATAAAGCCGCGCCACCGTTCCAATCGCGGTCAGCGTTCCGCTGACGGTTGGTTTCCGAGACAATTACAGAAAGCAATGATGTTAAATGGCGAAACAGGACGCGAGCGGACTTCATTTATCAGCATTTGGCGTCGGCAATGCCATTTTTCGCGCTCGTAATCGTCGTCTACCAGCGAAATTTTAGTGCGATCGCGATCGCGGATTGGCATACGAATCGTTAAGAGAAGAGGGAGAGAGAGAAAGAGAGAGAGAGAGAGAGAGAGAAATGCAATATAATGCCGATTATGTACGATGTTATTATCCAGCGGGACAATGTCAACGAGCTTCCGATTTTGAGACTGGTCGCGACACGACAGAATGGATTATAATATCCAAGTGACGTCTCGTAATTTCGAGAACAAACGCGTCGATTTGATGCGTGCTTTGTGCGCGATGATCAGTCTGATAACTGCGCGGATGACGAATGACAGCGTAATTAGGGCCATAAAAGGCTCATCGAACTGTCACGAAGACACTAAATGGGTGTCGCAAATCGCGGTGTACAGCTCGCATATGGTATACGTCTCGGACGTCTCGTGAGTAATTAATTAATCGCAACGCGTGTAGAGCGCCTCGTTTGATAGAATGCTCTTTCTCTCCGAGAGCACTATCTAATTCTTGACAATTGTGGAAACTTCTTTGCGCGCGCGTGCGTAACTGTGTGCGCTCACGTATCAACGCGAAATCGTGCAACGCCGAGATTCAACACGTACCGTACGTTTGTCGGCGTAATTAGCGAGTATTTTTCGCCGGGAGGGTCGAACTGCTAAACATTCCATCAACATTTACTTTACCCGGGCCACGTTCATTTTCATTTCGTAACAACGACGTGCCCAATTATCCCGGTGCGCTCATTACCTTTAATCAGTTTCCCACGTTGCCTACGGGTTTACTCGTAATTCGTATCGCGATTTTTAATGAATAATGCGATGCGATAGTTATATCTGTCCTACGTACGCATATGTATGTGTGTATGCGTGTGTGTATCGCGCGAAGCCGTGTCAGTTTTTCTATATGATATACAACCTAGATTATACGCGCCGGATTCTATCGATAGCTTGCGTAAACCTGTACGAACGCAATTACGAATTAATAGCGAAAAAAAGAAAGTATATTTTATGTGTAACGAGATACGTGCTGCAATTGTATATCAGGCGTGGGCGAACAAATGGATACGATAACGTGAAAAAGGGAAAAAAGGAAATACGAGAAGTGCGACAAGCGTGCAAAAGTGCACGCGCGACACATCCCCGATGCTCGTGTCGTTTTGCCGCCAGCCGATAATTAACGAGCCGGCGGTCCAGTTATCGCTGGAAAAAGCGACGCATATATAATCTAGGCTTAAGCAGAGGCTTACAATTATTGGCATTAGCGCGAGCAACGCCGCCGCATCGCTGCCACGCATTTCCGAACATTATAACACATGATACGCGATCATGTCTCCGTAATAACGGAAATTATACTCGCGGTATCTAGTCGTCGAACGTGAGTCGAATGGAAATTAATTCCTCTCGAATCGTAAGCAGAAATAGCTGACAAGAGCGACGTTTGACCGTTATGCATCATCCTTCGCCACATCACAAATAGCCTCATTGTTCTCCACGCGAAATGTCCATTCACATTAACCCTTGCAAATTCCGTCCAACTTTCAGTGACAATTCAACACAGAGAAAATAGCATCAGAGCGACAGTTTATCAGAACAAAGTATATCTGTACAGCGTCCTCTAAATTCGGCAGGATTTGTACAGAGCCAATGTGAAATCCAAATTTCGATTCGGGTTTAATGAAGCTGATCGAGCTCGCTTAGTGACGAAAAATGAGAAACAAAAGAGGAAAAATCCATACGAATGGGCTTTCGAAAAATCGTTCTTTGTGAAAAGAGCTCTGATTACACTGCAATTTTTACCTGGGAGATATCGTGTAATATCGCGTTTTTGGGAAAAGCAATTTCATCCGCGTTTACTTTCGCTTCGCGTATTTTCGCCCCGCCTTTGTCGCATTTGTCACACGAGAGTGTGGGCTCTCGCTTTTTTCTCTCTTTTTTTTTTTAACAAATCTCTCGCGACTAGAGAACCATTAACTATGATTTAGGAAATGACGAGAGGCGCACGCGCGTTTTATTCCCGATATTTCACGCGACCGAACGGTATGGATAATCTCAAGGGCATCAACGCGAGTGGATTAGTCCTATGTTAACTTCGCGATTAATCTTCCGGCGCTCGATCTCGCCGCGCGATAAATCT